AAATATAGAGAGAGTGGACAGCTTTGCTTTGTCCCTGATTTCAATGGGATTGCTCTCAGTTTAGTTTGATGTTGGGTCATTCCTCTCCTCCTACTACCATTCTTCCTCTTTTTCATTTTTAATTAAGATATATTTATTTATTAATTTTACATACATGAGTGCTCTATCTGCTTGTACATCTGCATGCCAGAGGAGGGCATCAGATCCCAGTATAAACTGGTTGGGAGCCACCATGTGGTCACTGGGAATCACACTCAGGACCTCTGGAAGAGCAGGAAACAGTGCTCTTAACCACTGAGCCATTTCTCCAGCTGTAAGAATGAATGCATAAATAACACCACTTAGACTTTCTGCCTCATATTTAATTCACTTCTTAACCTATACAAACTTTAGTAACACAAAATGAATGTTGCGAAAGAAATCCATCTATGTGGATTTCTATGAATATTTTAAGTTTTTGGGTTTTTTTGTTTTTTTTAATATTTTTTTATTAATTACACTTTATTCATTTTGTATCCCCCATAAGCCCCTCCCTCCTCCCCTCCAGATCCCACCCTCCCTCCCGTTTCTGCATGCATGCCACTCCCCAAGTCCACTAATAGGGAAGGTTCTCCTCTCCTTCTTTCTGATCTTAGTCTATCAGTTCTCATCAAAAGTGGCTGCATTGTCCTCTACTGTGGCCTGGTAAGGCTGCTCCCCCCTCAGGGGGAGGTGATCAATGAGCAGGCCAATCAGATTATGTCAGAGGCAGTCCCTCTTCCCATTACTATGTAACCCACTTGGACACTGAACTGCCATGGGCTACATCTGTGCAGGAGTTCTAGGTTATCTCCATGAATAGTCCTTGGTTGGAGTATGAGTCTCTGGGAAGTTCCCTGTGTTCAAACTTTTTTGTTCTGTTGCTCTCCTTGTGGAGACCCTGTCCCCTCCAGGTCTTACTATTTCCTACTTCTTACATAAAATTCCATTCTCTCTGCCCATCAGTTGGCCATCAGGCTCAGCATCTGCTTTGACAGTCTGCAGGGCAGAGGCTTTCAGAGGCCCTCTGTGGCAGGTTCCTAGGTTGTTTCCTGTTTTCTTTTGGCTTTCAGAGGCCCTCTGTAGCAGGTTCCTAGGTTGTTTCCTATTTTCTTCTTCTTCTGATGTCCATCCTGTTTGCCTTTCAGGATGGGGATTGAACATTTTAGTTAGGGTCCTCTCTTTTGCTTAGTTTGTTTAGATGTACAGATTTCAGTGGGTTTATTCTATGTTGTATGTTTTGTTTTTTTATGATGATTACCAAGGTGTGAAGGTGCGAACAGTAAAGTGAAGAACAGTACAGGGGAAAACATTTCTTAGTATGAAAGAACAAAAATAGTTTCATGGATTTGCATCTCAGTTCCCTACAAAAAAAGATTCTTAATACATTCCTGAAAACCAGGAGAAGTGTTTGTAATCTATATATATCCCGGTTTGCACATAATATTTGTATTTGTTGCTTATGAACTGTTAAGTTTCTGTTCAGATTCATGGGAATGACTTTCACTTCTACAATATTTTACTTCAATTACTGTCGCAAGTACTGTCCTGTCATTGCAACAAGTAAAATATCACCTATTTATCTTTCATCTATTTCTCTATTTATATCTATCATCTATCTTCTATTTATATCTATTATTTACCTGTCTATCTAAGCTACCCACTATTGTCTATCATTTATCTCTCTTTCACTCATCTATCTTTACATTTATTTATGACATCTGTATTAATAAGCCTAAACTACCAAAATAACTTATTGCACATTAGGTGGCTTAAGCCAAAGAAACCCATTTTTTTTTCTCTGTTTGGCAAATTGCATATTTGAGAAGGGGTGCCCTTGTTGTTGAGATCTGGCGAGGCTTTTTCTCTGGCCTACAGCTATGGCTTCTCATTACGTGCTTGCATGCTTTCTGCTTTTCGAATAATAAGAAGACAGGAAGTGTGCTGGTCATGGCTGTTCTCACACACCAATGCTACCATCAAAACTAACCTCCATAAAACCATTTAACACTATTGTATCATCGCCAAATAGCATCACATTGGCTTGAGCCCATAAACTCTAGAAGGACCAAATTTAGTACCCAAACACCACCAATTTTTGATAGGAGGGTAGGTTACTTTTCAATTGAACTTTAAATATTTCCTGCAGATCTCTTACAATCTAAGCACTCGAGTTATGAAGTAGATGGACATGATATATGAATAGAAATTTAAAGTTGAAGATAAGCTTAAATACATTATTTGAGACAAGACATTTAATTATTATAAAAGCCTATCCTGAAAGTTGCTCTTAGATGTTACAGCACAGTGCTCTACATTTTAATACAACAGTTTGATTAAAGCTTAAATGAAATGACCTTTTAGTATAAAATTACTTCATGTTATGTCGAAGAGAGAGTAATTTTAAGAAGAGAATAAGCTTGAATTCTTTGTTCTTAGTGTACCTTGCTAAATGTAAACAGCACAATAATATTTGAGCCATCATGGAGCTAATATTTGTATTCTATGGAACATTAAAACACTTTTTGTTGATCAGTTATATATTAATTTATTTAACTATCAAAATTGTCTGAGACCTTTAAAACTGTATTTGTTCAAGTCAGTTTTTATAACAAAGAACAGGTAAAAATGAATGTTTTTCAAAAGTGTTAATCGAGGCTGGCCTAAGAACAATTTGTTTGATTTGTATGTGGCAGTTCTATGTTAGAAATTCTAACAGTGGGTTTAAATTAACATACTTAGCTTCTTGAATCATTAATTTTCCCTGGCTAATTTAAGGACACATACCTAGAGGGCTTATGTCTAAAATGTGAGTGTCTAACAAAAGGAAAAATTTAAATACATTTTGTTAAATCCAGACACCATGCTTGGGGAATCATTAATATATTTTCCATGTACTGTTTGAAAAGTTTAAATGATAAACTATTACAGAATATACGGATCTGACTATTTTGCTTGAATATATGTTCAAACTGGATCTCCTCGAGTTAAAAAAAAAAATGACATGGGCAGTTTCACCATGTGCAGCAGTAGCTAGTCTGTTAGATAAATCAACCTTACAGGGCGGCAGCACATTGTGGAGAATTTTCTGCACACTTTGGCCTATCTTGTTAAATTTCCCCTCAACTTCATGCATTATTCTTCCTTATTAGCTGAGCATCAAGTAATCTGCTGAGATTATGGGATGAGTAAATAATAGAGCTGTGTTATAAATATAAAAGCTTCACCAATTTCCTCCAATCTCTCTATCTCTTACATGTTAGTATTTTCCTGAGGTTTCATGCCTCCCTGAGGGACAACTGGAAGTATATGGTGTCCCAAGGGAGAGGGTGCCACAAACATTGGTAACTTGCCCATGCTCCAATAAATAGCCTCCCACCCATGCTGAGGAAAGAAACTAATTAAGCTTAATGAGTTTCACATTAAAAAAAAAAAAAGGACAAAAATAGAAGGTGGACTTGTTAGGAAGAAATGTTTCAACAGGAGAATGACACAGATGAGAAAGAGAAATCAATTGGATAAAAATGACTAAAATTCATTAATTAAAGCTGAGCTAATAATGTGCAATGACTCCATAATGTGTTATAATCATTAACACAATTTCAGTTTGAAAGTTGGATTAGTAAAGGTTCTACAAAGAATTACAGTGTCATGAGCTAAATATAATGTGTTAAAGAACAATAGTTTTAAAGAAATTGAGCAGTTCCTCATTTACCATTAAATGGCCACTAGCCCTTTGATAAGGAAGATACACCTAATGCCAGAGATGAGCAGACATGGTGTGTGTGGTTGAAGCTCAACACCATGATGTAGTTTCCAAGACTACAGCAGAAGATCTAAGCAAAACAGCAGGAGCAGTGGAAGTGTGTGTTCACGTTGCTATTCTATGGGCTTTTAGTGGGAAAGTTTTGTGGTTGCTTTCAGAGTGCTTTTTAATATGAAAAATACTATCTTTCAATGAGCAAGAAACAATGTTCATGGGAATAATTTGAATGAATTACACCGTCTCTCTTTTACTAGCAGAAAAAAAAAAAGATTGTGACAACTGTGTACTTTGAATAAAGACTCAGAATAGAAACACAGTGACTAAGATTTCTGAAACTGCCTTTGATGAAATCTCTCCTTATGCTAAATTTAGAAATAAAAAAGCTGTGGCCATTTTGAATTACCAAGAATGTTCAATTACTAGAAAGGAAAAAATGCATTTTACTTCTTTGCTTTTCAATATATCTATGGAGACCAAGTAGTATATTATATAGTAAAAAGGAGATGTCACCTAAAAGTTTGGTATTGGCTGTTTCTATAAAATAAAAACATGGTCTAAAAACAATAAATTCAGCTTACATAATTAATGGTCATTTTAAAAGCTAAAAACCAAAGATTCAGAAGGATATGTATTCCAGCCTTGACCTGTCTTATAAAATCATTATGAAATGAAAATAACTGTACCTGTTTAAAATAGTACTTATCAGGATTAATGTGTAAATAAAATTTAAAATATATTGTATAGAACTTAACAAATATTAACTATACTCTTCTTACTACAACACTGTAAAACAAGGGAGTCAGATGTGCCCAAAATAAAACTGTTTGCTAAGTTATGTTATGCCCATTTGTTGAAAATTCTGAAGTTGTGTAAGATAATTATGAATATTATTTTTTATTCAAATTTAGAAAGCTAACAGTAGGTACCTATTTCACTTATCAAAGCAGTGGTTTTATGAAATGAAAAATTACCATCTTGCATTCAGATGATGATTAAAAGCAACAAACTGACACATTGGATTTTACATGATACATTATGTTTTTAAATTTTGCTGAACTTTTTATTAGTCATACACTTCCTCTTTAAAAAGGTTCTCTGTGAAGTAAATGGAGTTTTACAAATGCATTCCTAATGGATTAGTTGAATAGACAAAGCCTCAAGTGCCAGTAAACTCATAGCAAATGATGGATAATCAGATTCCTTTATTTGCTTTCAGATTTTCAGACGATGCTGGTTGGTTTTTAAGAAGGCTTCTAGCAAGGGACCCAGAAGGCTAGAAAAATTTCCAGATGAAAAGGCAGCTTATTTCAGGAACTTTCACAAGGTAAGTCACATACACAGAGGTCCCTGGGGAACAACTGGGCTCTTGACAACTTGTGGAGACATCTCTTTGATGGATGAAATCTACAGAGGGAAAAATTCATGGCCAGGATAAAGTGCTCCTGTTTCAAAAATTCAAACGTTATTTTTCTTCCTTATCTTAATCATCTGCTGTAAATCCCATTGCTATACCTCTGCAAAGCAAAAGGCTCATTTTTATGGCAACTTTGCAAAATGAGATGAGTCATAACTCAACCCGATTCTTTCAAAAGTGCTGAGTGTACACTCTTCCTCTGTTCAGGTTAATTGTGCATTTGCTCCTCTGATTTAAACTATGGGCAGTATTTAGGAAATAACATTTATCAGACAAGCTATAGTGATGTTAATGACACTGTTAAAATGGCTAGGACTGGCTGTTTACTCAGCACATTAACAAAAAAAAAATGATCGTCAAGTATGCTGATAGGTGGGTGCTGTATAAATTCAAGGAATAAAATATCAGTTTTCTAATTACTAAAATTTGACCTCCAAGCATTCATAGACATATGGTATGAGCTTATCTTTGGTGATAATTTCAACTTATTCTATGAAGAACTGTGGAATTATATAGCCTGCTTATCAATGCCTGAATAAGTTTAATACATTCTGATTCCTCAATAGCAGCTTACTCAGTACTTAGAGAGAATTAGTTACCTCAGATGATATAACAAATTTGTTGTATTTCATTTTACTTGGTACTCAATTTTATTTTATCCTATTCTCTTAATTGTGTGCTATTTGATATTAATACACTATAATTCAACCATAAAATAAATAGCAATCATATAGATTGTCTTTCTGATTAGATAGTGCAAAACCAGAGTTGCTATAAATAATAATTTGAGATAGGATATCATGAAATGGCCAACATATTTCTGCCTGTTTTGGTCATAGAAGAAAGTATACACATTTAAAAAATTTTACTGGTATCATGACTCATGACGATCAGTTATGTTCTTAAATAATTTTAAAGCAGACTTATGAAGAATTACCAAGCAGTGAAATAACTATAAAGTCATGATGCTAATTTTTATGCTTTTAGAAAGAGCCTTACTATTTATCCCAGGTAGGCCTCCAAGGCATGGCAATCTTACTGTTTCAGGTTTTCAACTGCAAGTCATAGACATGTGTTTTCATTCCCAACTCACATTTTCTTTACAAGAAAAATTGTGGAAGTCTAAACACATTCTGTTTCATGAAATCCTAGTCAGAACTACGAATGGTGGTTTTAAAAACATATCCCCCATATTCTTGGGCTTTTGCATACCTGGCCCCAACTGGAGGCACTGTTGTGGGAGTTGCGTCCTTTTTAATGAAAATGGTGCCCACCATGATGATAATGGACTAAACCTAAAACTTTGTTACAGCCCTAACTAAATGCTGCTTTCTTTATAAGAGTTGCCATGGTCATGTTGTCTCTTCACAGCAACAGAAACCCTAAGACAGAATTAGTGAGTATGGCCTTGTTGGAAGAGATATGGCATTGGGCACAGGCTTTGAGAGTTTAGACTTACACCGTTTCCAGCTCACTTTTTCTGCTTTTTGCTTGGAATTCAAGACGTAAGCTTTAGTTTCTGTCTCTATCACCATGTCTCTGTTCTGTTATGATGGGCTCTAAACCCTCTGGATCGATAAACCCAAATAAACTCTTTATTCTACAAGAAATACGGTACTTTATCAAACCATTAGAAAAGTGACTAGTGCAACCTGCCTACTCAGCAGTGCCACTTCGTAACTAAAACTCTCTAGCCAGTACAAGCTTTTTCTCCCAAATAAAAGGTAAAATGATTAAGAAAACATTATTTTATGTTTGAACTTAGCCATATTTTATGTAAAAATGCATTTGCTCTAGGATTTCAACTGCTTATTTAGACTGTAATTTGAATGCAAATACATATTGGATGTCTGCTTTATTCTATTCATGGCTGGGAATGTCAGGTTGAATAAGAAAAGGCCATTGTCCTCCCAAAAGCTTAAATATTACTGCAGACAAAATGTATATACACATAATATAGCAAGGAGAGTAAGAGAACTATGCATTTTCCTTAATTTGGAATTCAAGTAAATCTTTTAGCAAAGATGACACCAGAATAATGAAAGTTGTAGTAGCAATGTCTCTAACACTTATTGCAAAGCGGTCATCACTAAAAGGTTGTATAAATCAGTTCTCCTTTCTGCTCACTTATCTTCTTTTTTTTTTTTTTTTACTTGTTTATTATTCTTATGGTCTCTTGTTTTTAATATTATTGTTACATATATATATATAACTAAATGCTGAGTTCATTTAGTGTTGCTCATATGTATTCCTGATTAAGGATAAACTTTCTGGGTTGTTCCTGAAGCAGACTGAGTCCTTCTCTCTTAGCAGCCATTAATTGCCCATAATTGTTCATCTGGGGTGGAACCTTGTTTTATTTTTGAGAATAAGTTTTACTATACAGCCAAGGCTGATTGTGAATTTAGGATCCTCTCAATTCAGATATTCAGGAGCTGGAATTACAGTCATGAATCACCTCACCTGAGACTTCACATTTTATATAATCTGATTTTTCCAACTTTAATCTCTTTTTATACTACAATGACAATCACATGTTCTTTATAGGAATTCTCAAGGATAGAGAACATGCTTGTTGTGATGTGTCTTGGAAACTGCTCATGAAATCTGTTATTTCAGTCTGACCTAGAATTCAAACTTATATTGTTATTATTACCTGACTTTCTAGACTTTGTTATGTACATAGTATTATTCTCTAAACTAGGAATACAGTGGTAAAGAAAAATTATGAAATATTACATCTGTTTACCACTGTACCTTCTAGTTTTCAATCACCTATTACTAATGACTCAGTATATGTAATAGGTCATTTTTCACTTTCTCATGACTGTATTATGAAGACTAAAGGTTTTATTACTATAAATTTTTCTTTAGTGCATAGACAAGGCTGACCCACAATTTTATCAACTGGAGACGTTCATCACAAATTTGTCTCACGTTTGACTGACTGGAAGCTGAAATGAGGAGATGTGGCTCATGCTGATCAGAGGAATGATTAGAACACAGCTCCTCGGTGCTAAGTTAGGGTCCATTTTCCTGAGGCTATGTTCCCACTCCATTGCTCAGTTTGGTTTTATTTGAACTACAGTGCTTGATGCTCCTGCTCAGCCACCTGATTATCTCACAGCCACACTCTTATATTCATTTTTTCTTCTTGTTATAGTACTAACTAACTCAAAAACAATTATATCTGCCCTTTTTCCCCTGTTAAACACCCATTTAGCTTTCATTATTCTACAATATTTTTATCACTCAAATACAGTAAGTTGTCCAAGTTCTTAAAATCATAATACCTTTAAGCAATGGAATTGTGCACATTTTACTATCAGCTTTAGTGTACTATGCATTTTTACAGGGTAACATGAGCAAATTGCATCTTTGTCTCAGAGTAATCACTATTGGGCACCCACCTGATCACAGAATCACAACTGACCCAATTTCTATGTAGTGGACATCATTTTATAGATGCTATCACATACTCTTAGTACAATATATATTCCTGAGACCACTGTGTCTAGTGTGAAAATAGGCAATATTTCATGAGATGATACAAACAGATGTTGTTACCCACACAGCGGGACAACAGAGGTACGCCACCTCCATCCCTGCTGTGACGTATGAAGGAGGTAAGACACACAACTCACTCAGGAATGTTCAGGAGGGCTTGCTCTGTCCTTGCAAAGCAATGACTGCCATGTAATCCCAGAGATGCAGAGGTAGAAAAGGAAGATCTTAGGGTCTCCCTGGCTAGCCTGCCTACTCCAACTACCCAGCCGCAGGTTTCAATGTGAGACTCTCTCCCGGAAGAGATGGAAGGGCTCTTGAGGAACAACCCTGAAGAGAGCCGACATCTGCCTACACATAAATGTGCACCACATGAGTGTGCACTGCACACTTGACTCCAGAATAAACACACGTATTGGCTTAGACCTTAAACGTTAAGACGTAATAACCAATTACTGTTTTAAAATTTTGCAACGTAGGGAAGAAAAACATTATAAATAGTTAACTATAATGAATTTGGATTCACAGATGGCAACAGTTAATTCCACCCCTGGTAATTAGAAGTTAATAGGGAATACCTGCATATCACTGTGTTTCTACAGAGCAAAATGATGGAGAAAGTGCCTTATATGGAGGAAAGTGTGTGGATGTGAGCAATAAAATTTACATTCTCATTAGATTAGGAGAGTTTGATTAGATTAGTGAAGCTAAACCTTCAAGGAAGATCTGGCACATGAAAAGATTAGCACAGACTGAGGAGCATAAAGCCTTTGCACAGAAGTTGAGGTTATATCATGTAAGCTACAGAGAGGTTTGGAAAAGCTAAAAATGTCTTCTAATTTTCTCATGTGTTCCTTTTCTTAATTCTTAAGTTTTTTAAACTAGAAAATAGCTGTTTTAACTTTCTCTAAAAGCCACAATCATGTTTAATAGCAATAAATTGAAATAATGAATTAAGTGAGCAAAATGTTTCTAACCTAACTAAATAGTTACTAAAAATAAGCCACGGATACAACTATTTCTTTCTTTCTTTCTTTTTTTTTTTTTTTTTTTTATCAATTTTAACTGTGTGCTATGCCCTGTCCAAAATAGACTTACAAGTATTAATGGTCTGTCTCATTTAGACATTTGACATGTTTACTATAAGAGAGATCTTGCTGTACAAATGAATTTTATATGAAACAGTTGTAAAATAGTATATACTTTTTAAACTTAATAGAAAAAATTTGAATTTCAAATTACTAGCTACTGAAGGATGTTATTAAAAATGCATTATCCACTGAGACAGTGGCTGTATATAATTGTCATAACAGATATTGAAAACAAATTTATCCTGGATGAACACTGAACAAGAACAATTTACATAATACCAGTTAATCTTCTAATATCATATTAGAAGTACATAT